GTTTTCGGAAACTATGAAAAACTTGTTCAATTTGAGATGGAGAAATACCAGAAATTCCGTCTCTGATGGCTTTTTTCAAATCATCTTTGGTCTCGAGTTTTTCCGCATAAACATCATCTTCCAGGAAGCCCCATAAGAAGAAGTCACACGGGTTCGAATCGGGTGAATAAGGGGACCATTCCATACCTACATGCGCAAACTTGGGGTATCCTAATCCGATGACGCGATCACAATACACTACATAAATAGCTTCAAATACGTCCTTAGTTCTATGCGGTGTAGCACGATCTTGCATAAAATAATAGTTTTTGACCAATTCTCTTCTTTTAGCCAAAGGGAAAAATTTAGTTTGTAGCATTTCTCGATAACTATTACCTGTAATGGTCCCTTCTATGAATTCTAAGTGTGTTGTTTGAATTGAAAGAGCTGCCCAAACAGTCACTTTAAGAGGGTGTAAAGACTTTGCTTCAGATGAGTGTGGATTTTCGCAACCTCGAAAACGGTAATTTTGTTTATTTACATATCCATTTAAATCAAAGTGAGCTTCGTCTGTGAAGATTATATGATTGATGTCGATCTCATTATTTTCAAATTTCTGTGTCACAATTTTACAAAACTCAATTCTTTTGTTTTTGGAATCTTCTGTGAGCAAATGATGGGTCGTAATTTTGTAAGGGTGTAACTTGAGGAAATTCTTCAATATTAATCTCGGTGTCTCTCGGTTCAGTTTCAAAGTTGCCGCTGCTTTTCGTATCGAATCCGTTGGATTATTCTTGAAATGTTCTTCGATCTTGGCAATCGTATCTTCTGTTATAACTGAGGGTGATGGACCAGGAAGATCATGACGACAGTCCTCAAGAGTATAATACTTGATGAAATTATCAGTTACTCTGGGAGAGAAAGTAATAAATACTTGAAAGTTTTAGTCACAAGTGAGGTTATACGATGAAGTCAGATAAATTTTTTTTATTCTCACCTTTTGAGGGTGTTTTGACTGGCTACTTTTTTACTTCCAAATTTGGTACGAAAGCCTCTATATGCTTCAGTATAGTTTTTACCTCTAGTATAAAAGCACTCGATAAGATATACTTTTTCTTCGTTTGTAGGGTTACTCATTTTGAAGTACACGTAGTGCTTCTTGTAGCGTCTCAATAGAAACTGACAACACTCTAGTATATATCTAATGGACCCAACCTTCTGGGTCTCAGTAGGAAGGGAAGACATGTGGGTATACTTTAGGCAACTTCCCAGTTGTCACCCTGTATAAATATTCTCGTAGTTGTTTTACAACTAGGCGTCAGATTGACAAACAAAACGCGTCAATTCGTTCTTCGCAAAGATCGATTAGTTTTTGTACATTAAATGTTTGTGGCTTTGTTTGACTCTATAGCTTTCATACGCTGTATCGAGATACGCGGTAGCGTATCGGCCAAGAAAAGTTTTGACCGACTGAGCAAAACATCAAGTTTGACCAACTGAGCAAAATATCAGGCCGAGAGGACCGTGTATGTATACACGACAGAACTTCCCCCTCCACTACCTTTAAATGATTTACATTCGGGATAATGAAAACGAAACTACAAATCGGAAAAGCGTCGTTAGTTACATTACATAAATCGCCTATGAGCTTTTCAACGGTGTAACTATGGTATTTTTTGGATTAACAGTAAAAAAGATAGGCGCATAGCAATGAGTTGATATTCACATTCTCGCGATTCACATTATAAAGTGTGAAAATAAAGTTGTAACGTTGGCAGCGCCGGTCCAAGTGAGTTTCATATCCAACCTTGAAGTGTCGCCACCACTGCATTTGAATGTAGGTTGTGATGTTGTTATGGAGAACCACAAAAAATGTTCTTCTTCACGTTAACTCACTTATTAGAATGAAACGGAAAATCGGCTCGGTGTTCTATTTTGTTTTCTCTCGTCGAAAATTCGAATTTCATCCCGCCATATCTATATTCATATGCGGACCTCGGACATAAAGGTAGTTTATGCACTGTTTGTGAGGTTATCGGTTTATGTTTGGAATGTGACAAAAGGGAGATGTGTCGAAAATATTGTGTGATCAAGTATTAAATGTCCGTGAATAGTTAAATTCGAAAAGAAAATATTTATTTTTCTCCGAGTGTAACAGAAAATGTTTTCATTCCGTGGAAAAAAATTCACTAAATTTTAGTGACAGTGAAATGCGAACAATTTTGTGATTATTTAGGAAAAATTAGTGGAAGACAGTGGGATTAAATGGACACTGAACCCTTCCCAAAATGTTGATGTTTTATTGAAATGCTGATGAAATAGATTTTTTAAAAATTAAAGTACAGTCAGCCCCTTTGTAATAAGCTTAGACTGAGCTCAATCGATAAATTTGTTCCTTGGTTATGAATATTGAAATAAGAAGTCAGAAGAGTCCATTCCACCCAATGGTTCCCTAATATTTTTAAAAACAAAAAAAACAAAAACAGATGTTTCCAAAAAGAATTCTTTGTGAACATTTTGTTCGACTATTCCTATAAGGAAATCAGTTCATCTCTCCACGAAATACAATCCATATAGGAATCATCAGAGCAAAAATTGAATGAGGAACCCAATCAAGTCAGAAAATTGTTAATAGATGATTAAAATTGGAAATTCGGTGGAGAGAATAAATCTGGAGTAGAACTGGTTATTTCCCTTCAATTGTTGATCCAAAAAATGTTGTGTCTTATAAAAAATGAATCAGTTAAATTGAATTGAAAAGAACAAATTTCACCGTATGTAAAAACGGTCCTTGCTTATTTTGAAAAAAATAATGAAATCTGCCTAAAAACACAAAAACAAATGTTTTTGTAAAAAAACTGGGCCAAGAAAAAGTTTTGTTTGATTCCTACTGGGAAATCGAAGTTTTTGAAAAATACATAGAATTAAAAAAGGAAGCCAAATTAGGAATTTTGAATAAATGGTGATAGTGCACATTCAGGTTTCTATAAGAAAAATAGTTCTCAATGGAATAAGTATTGTGACAAAATTCTCCATGAAATAAAAAATCCTGCTCCTACTGATTTTTTATTTCATGGAGAATTTTTTTGGAATACTTATTCCATTCAGAACTATTTTTCTTATAGAAACCTGAATGTTCACTATCACCATTTATTCAAAATTCCAAACTTGGCTTCCTTTTTTATTTGTATGTATTTGTCAAAAACTTCGATTTCCCGGTAGGAATCAAACAAAACTTTTTCTTGGCCCAGTTTTTTTTACAAAAACATTTGTTTTTGTGTTTTTAGAGAGATATACATTAACGCACAAGTTATCGAATCAAATGTACAAATGTAAAAAGAAAAAGGAAATCGAGATAAGCGATAGCGTTTCGGCCAAGTAACCGTTTTACTTCAGAATACCGAAACCAAACCGCCGATAGCTAGCGGGTATATATACACGATGTCGCTACCCCCTCCACTACCTCCCAATTACTATTCCTCGTTTTAAAATAAATAGGGCAAGATTATGCAGAAATTGACAACAGTTTCATCATAAAAACCGCTTATGCCCTTTCCATTCATTAATTTTTCTGTTCGAACAATATTTAGAAAGATAGATTAATTTCGATCCGTCGGATTTGTTTTCTGCGATTTCGCTTATCCAAGTGTGAGTTTTATTTTCAAAGTTGGCAGTAAAGCCACTGAGAGATGAGGATAGGAAGGTTGGCCAAACCGATTATCATTTAGGAATGCGCAGGCGTTGCGGGAATTTTGAGGAAACGCATTTCTTGATAATTAAATTTATTAATCACAAGTCGCAGTTATAGGCAATAAAACCAAATAAGCAGCAATGCAATTTTATTGCTTTTATTGCACACTAAAAACGGACCCTGTTCCGCATTCCGCTGCGATATTCCTCGTTTCTCGTATCTGTTCCTTATTCCTTATATTTTTTCATTGTGCGTCGGGCGTTATGCCTTCCGATTGCGCGGACGCATTAATGACAGAAGGAAAAAGGTCGTGTGCCGGATAGTTTTATCGAAGTTATTGGGTAAGTAATGAAAGTAATTCGCTCTCTACTATATTATAGCCGGTAATTGCTCCAAATTCGAGATATTAGGCAACCTTTTTTGTGAACTCCTTTCCTTCCGCTTATTCCTAACTATTTTCTAAAATTTGACATAGCTCACGTGGCATTTGCAGATTAGAGTGAATGAATAAGCCGGCTCGAGTTTATTTATATGTATTGGAGGAAGCAGAGATTTTCCTGTAACATTCCCATGCCTTTGTTAGTGAACTAAGATCGTCAGAAACGTATTCTAATTTCTCCGGGTGTGCCAGAAATGGCTAATAGCTCTTTTCTCGATGGAAAAATACAGGAAATTATGATGCCAACGTGTGATTCGATTTGACAGATAAACCGCTAAGAACTCGTCTTCAACTGGCGGAGGTTAGCTGTCAAACCGACTGATATTTGCACTATAAATTACCTTATTCTCTAACTGAGCTCTATTATCTATTTCAGTTGCAGCCGGATAAAGTAAGATATATTCCCAGCCAAGGATGCTTTTTTTTTTGGATGACTAATAAATACGTGGGAATGTCTTGAAAAATTACTATTTCCTCCATATATATCGCTACATTCTCATCGTGTAAACTAAATTCCATGAATCTCTCTCAAATGGAATGGATGGAGTAGTGAAGTGCTAATCCATAACGACTCGATTTTGCATTCAATAGAGTTTCTGAGGAATATCTCCGAACCTAAGAGAGAAGCCGAAATTTTCATGAAATTCATTTTTATAGCTCTCACTTTCCTCTACAGAGAAAGTTTTCATAAAAATTTCGATATCTCTCATAGATTCAGAGATATTTCTAGAAAATTCTACCATGGTTTGAGGCGACTTGTTACCTTTTATTATTTTAGTACTAGAATGATCACCAAAAAACTCCCACTTGGAAATGCTTCCACCTATCCCTTCCCAGTTTCCTCACTTTTGATCCACTAGATTTTTATTTTTCTTCCTTCTAGTTGGAAAGACCATTATTAAATTGAAATGGATAATGAGGAGCACCCCACGCAGCAGGCACCACCACCATCACCCCAGCAAGAGCAGCCTCAGCAAGAGCAGCCCCAGCATGAGCGAGCCCGGCAAGAGCAGCCCCAACAAGGAAACAATGAGATTCCGATGCTTCTCAATGCAAATCTGCAGGAAGGACTCAACCTAGTGCAGAGAATCTATGGTCAATAACCTCATGGAGACGGCCAACGAGGTGGCAGAGCTGCTGGAGAGGGTCGGAGAGTCAATGGTGAAGGAAGAGGAGGAAATGCACAGAACAGAAGGAATGGAGGGGACAGAGGAAATCTAAGAGGGAGAGGGAATCATGTAACTCAAGGTGGAGGTCACGGAGGGAATGGAAAAGAGGCCGACAATAATCGCGGAGGGAGAGGTGCTGGGATTAATGCAGGAGGAAGAGGCGAAGGGAGAGGGAAGAAGAGAGCTGGGAAGAATCTGGATCCCTGTAATGCTCTGTAAGTTTCAGTTTGTCGAAAATTCATAAGAGGCCTATTTTTTTGAGTTTGAGAAATTTCCGGCAGTTGCTTTAAATTTGGAATTCTTCTTTACTTCTCAATCGAAAATTAGACTTGACACAATCCCCAACGTATGAATTTTTTAAATAGCCTTTCAAATATGATTCCGAATTTTTGCTTCTCATTTATGAAAAATGGCGATACGTTCTGGAGCATATTCGTCAAGCGAAAAAATCATTTTTTTAAAGATATTTCTTGGGAACTTTCATAAATGAATAGATTGAAGGATCCATCATCTCGGTTATTTTCTTCAATTGCGCAATATTTTCGTAAAAATAATGATGCGCTGGAGATGGCTTATCTTGTCCTACCCCTTTACTGATGATTTTAATCTGTTCTTCAGCATCTCTTCACCCCACTTTGTTCTTCACCACCGTTCTTCTCTCACTACTTCAACTATTGTTTAATTCTTTTCCTTTCAACGTTCTTCCAGGTATTGAAAGGGCCAGTACCATCAGAGGAGAGATAATGGGCCACGTGGAGGGGGTAGCGGCGGCGGGGGTCCAGTTTTCTATCAATATTTTTAGTTGTTGGATTGGGACTCTTATTTCCTTATTATGGAACTTCATAAATTTTCAGCACAATCACTTGAATGTGTTAACAGTGAATCAATCGATGGGGATAAAAATCAATTCTGCTGATTGATTTGTGGGAATGCATCGATTTTTTTTCTCCAAGAATGATCCACTGCTGACGTATTTGTTCCATGATTTTCTGAAATTCGACATACTTGCCCAGTCTCTCCCTACTTTCTCACAACTGTTTCGTCAATTTTTCACATTTATTTCAAGAGGTGTCACTTCTTATTCATCGCCTTTGTTATATGCATCATCACACACGTAAAAACAATCAATCGAAAATCTTAGTGCTTCTTGCCAAATATTCTATTGAATTTCTATTGACATTCCAGTAGGATTCTCTCAGAAGATTCCTTTTGTTTCTGTTTGTTTCTTCAATAGAATGGGTAAAAAGAACAATTGGGATTCTACGATAAAATTCCAATAGAACTCCAACGCAATTCCTACAGACTTCCAATAAATATTCAATAGAATTTCTTAAATGAAGGGCTAGTTTTTCTATAAATTTTTCCCACATGTGTAGTGTAATGTGTAAAATGCATTGAGTACGATTTTATTCATTTTTTCTATATTTCAGATCATTTTACGAAGACCCTGAGGAGGTCGGTTCGATTAAAAAAAAAACACTCTTACGAGGATTTTAAGAAATAAGGGACTATATTAAAAATCATTGTGAGTGACTGAACAATTAATTAAATATTTTCTCATGTTCCAGATGTCCTGGCAAGGATTCCAGGATGAATCCTAAATATCGTTTGGGTGACGAAACATTCTTCCCCACATCGTTGAAGATTAGTGTGAAAAAATGAAAATGTACTTATAGCATTACTTATTAAAAGATCTCATCAGAAAAATAAAGTGAAATGAAACGTGTATTTACTATATTCACAGTTTTTCAACACGCTTGTAAACTAAAAATCCTGAGTGCTTTACATAATTCGATAGAATTTTCTCAATGCAATGGAATTGTAGGAAAACGACTCATAATTTCGAAGCATTTGTGGTATTACTTATTAAAATGTCCTGTAATGGAATTTTTGAATGTAATGACTCTTCTTGACACTAGGAGGCGATAAATCAAAGCAATAGATTGTTTTAATGGCCGTAGAGATTCAGTCAACAGTGAAAGTTTATCAATCCTCAATCAATTTACAGCAAATCCTTTGGATGAATCGACTATAAATTTGGAATTTTCAGTGTGTTGATGTTGTTGTATGCTGTGTGGACAAGATTAAATAAAAATTTTCATCAATTACAGGGGATCTGATTGGACGCTGCATCGGACTGGATATTGTAAAAACTCACCTTTTTAATTTCTCAAGTTCAATCGCTTTCATGTGGACGTAGCATTCATTATTATTATTAATGTTCACCGTTTCTATTAATCGCGCCAAAAAAATGGCCGTTGTATGACCAAGTTTTTTCCGTTAATAGAGTTAATCATTTTTTCTAATTGAATAAAAGAAGTTGAGGTTATTAGTAACCACTCAGAGTTATGTTATCCAGTCTTATCCTCACATACAACATTTTGGCGACCGTGACAGGACGAGCAATCGTCGGATCGTGTGCACGGTGAGATGGATAACCTAAAAAAAACACTTGCTACAAAGAGATCAGCATTTATACGAGCCCATGGTGGGTTATTAGCACTTTTAGAAGAAAATGCACCTGATCTCAATTATGTCAAACCACATTTCGCAGTTCTGAGAGATAAATCAGCAGAACTGCAAGAGTTAAATGATGCTATTCTAGCTGAGTTACAAGAGAAAAACAACATCAGAGAAGACGAATTGCTTAATGAGATGAATTCTTCCGACGATTATCAGCTAAAATATCAACAGATGAAACAACGAGTTACACAATTGACTGAGTCAGCTCCACGTCTACCTGTCCATCCTCCTGCAGTTCTACCACAGATGAATCACACAACGGTGGACACTAATCAAAGGTACAAAGTGCCCAAAATTGAGATTTGTAAATTCCGTGGGAAAATCAAGGACTGGCTACCATTCTGGAGTCAATTCAAACCTATACATGAAGATGAAAATCTGAAGGAAGAGGTTAGATTCCAATACCTCATCCAAGCCATGACACCAGGATCTCGAGCAGCTGAAGTGGTTAATTATTTCCCTCCCACCGCAGCCAATTACGTGAAAGCGGTAGCAAGCCTGGAGAATCGGTTTGGAAAGAAAGAGTTACAAGTCGAGATATATGTGAGAGAGCTTCTGCAACTTATCCTGCAGAATACTTCAGAGAAATCCGAGTGCATGTCCATCACCAGTATTTATGACAGCCTAGAGACTCATCGCAGAGCCCTCGAAACTCTTGGCGTGACCACTGAGATGTGCGCAGCCATGCTCTATCCTCTTATGCAGTCAGCTCTTCCAGAAGATACCTTGAGAGCTTGGCAGAGACATCCAACTTTGAGTACAGCCACAGTTGTAACAGCTAGACTTGAAGCGCTCATGACCTTTCTACAAACGGAAGTGGAAACAGAGCAAATGATCAAGATGGCTTCTGGAGGTTTTGGGAATTGCAAGCAGTCCCTGGAGATGAATAAAAATCATGGAGATTGCACCAAGATTGCACAAGACAAGAATGCTTGTTTCAACTGTTTGAAGGCGGAACACAGCTTCAAAAATTGTCGTTATCAAGGTAAATGCCGTTGGTGTTCTAAGAGACACATTTTGTTAATGTGTAGAAGCATGTCAACAACACCAAAAGCCGCCAAGTCTGCTGATAAACTTCAAGAAATCAACCTCGCCAACCTGTCTTCCACACCAAAGGTATTTCTACAGACACTTCACGTGAGCGTCAAGAATGACAACAGAGAGAAGATCGTACGAGCTATTGCAGATCACGGATCCCATCGCTCATATATTTCTGGTCAACTAGCACAGGAAATGTGCTACGAAGTAGAAGGGACTCGAACGATGACACATCTTCTCTTCGGAGGTTCTCAGACAGAATCCTGCCGATACAAATGCTACAATGTACGTCTGAAGAGCTTAGATGGAGATTACGCATGTAACTTCCAAGCCTTTCATCAAGAAATCATCTGCTAAGAGGTACAGACTGTTTCAAAAAGCCCTTGGTTATCTGAGCTACACAGTAAATCCGTCACACTCACTGATACTGGTCCAGGCTCTCCAACAATTAGTCTATTGATTGGGGCAGACATCGTTGGTAAATTATCTACTGGTCAACTGTATAACCTCGATTGTGGAGCTACTGCAATGGAGACTCGTCTGGAATGGACCCTCATTGGCAAAAACAATACTAAGTTGCCAGAGGGTGTAGATCGAGCACTATTGACATTGTCGATGTTTGCACGAGAAGCAAGTGTTGAACAGCTATGGCATCTTGATACCATTGGAATCACTGATCCAATTGAGTAGAAATCGAAGGAAACTCAGCAACAAGAGGTTTTGAGTAGGTTTCGAGACACGATCCAGATTACCTCAACTGGCAGGTATGAAGTTAGGTTACCATGGAAGGAAAACCACTCTACACATGCACAGAGACTTGCTAATACTCAGAGAAAACTAGAAGCTGATGGTCTCTTCACAGAATATGAGAAAGTGTCTCACGAGTGGCTCTCAGAGAGAATAATTGAAAAGGTGCCTCAAAATGAATTGCAAAGGAGAGCCCACTACCTCCCTCATCGTCATGTTGTGAAAGAGAGGAGCACGACTCGGATCAGACCTATTTTCGATGCTTCTGCCAGGGACAAGAGCAGTCCATCACTCAATCAGTCCCTAGATCCTGGACCCAATCTGATTGAACTAATCCCAACATTACTACTTCGATTCAGAAAACATCGAGTGGGAATCATCTCAGATATTCGTAAGGCCTTTCTACAGATTAGCATTGTGCCTGCAGATCGTGACGTTCTGAGAATCCTGTGGAAAATTGCGAATTTTCATGAGATCATCGAGTATAGACACTGTCGAGTGGTATTTGGTGTGACAAGTAGACCTTTTTTGCTGGCAGCTACGATTGATTTACACCTGGAAAATGCCATAAAAGGCACAGAATCTGAAGAAGCTCGTACTATCCTCAACAAACTCAGGAATTCTTTCTATGTTGACAACTGCTTGACGAGTGTCAAATCCAAGAAAAGTGCAGAAAGTTTCCTGGAGATAGCTACTGCGAGTATGACTGCTGGGGGTTTTGACCTCAGAGTGTGGGAGTCATCACATGATTCAAGCGAACAGGAAGTCCCTCCTGTACTTGGTCTATCTTGGAACAAAGAGCTAGATGTCCTCCGGTTGGCACATACATTTCTGCTGCATGAGCTTCCAATGAAGATAACCAAGAGAACCTTTCTGTCTATAACGCAGAAAGTGTTTGATCCATTGGGTATGGCGAGCCCAACAATACTTCTACCCAAGCTCATATTGCAAAGATTATGGTAGAGTGAATTAGATTGGGGCACCGCAGTTCCTGAGAGTGTTAAGGAGAGCTTTCTATCCTGGTGCAAAGAGTTATCCCTGCTGAGAGAGCTGACGATTCATCGATGGGCGTTTGGAGATACCAATGAAAGACTTCCTTTGCATTTATTCGTGGATGCCAGCCAGGAAGCCTACGCAGCAGTGGTATATGCAAGATTGGAGTCACCAGAAGGGGTGAGAGTTAACTTTGTAGAGGCACAATCCCGCGTAGCCTCTACAGAAAGAAGCATGATGCCCACACTAAAACTGCTAGCAGCTACAGTGGGAGCTCGCCTACTGAGCACAGTAACTACTATACTTGTTAAGCATTCCTTTGAGATACATTGTTGGTCAGATTCAGCAACAGTATTGGCATGGATTCGACGTGATCTCCAATGGGCCACGTTTGTTTGTAACCGTGTCAACGAAATTCGACGTCTGACTGATGCCACATGTTGGAAGCATGTGCCCGGGGTTTTAAATCCTGCAGATTTACTCTCACGAGGATGCAAGGCACGTCAGTTGGTTCAGTCTCAATTGTTACTGGGGCTTGAATGGCTATCACTCCCTCGAGATGAATGGCCTTCATCAAATCCCGAAGCAGATGAGGGACTGGTGACTGTGTTATGTGACTACGAGGCAATGATCAACTCTCAACCATTGACATACTTGGCAGAAGATCCCCACCAGTTAATCTCCCTTTCGCCTAGTCTATTTCTGCAAGAGGTGAGGGGAATTGGGGTGTCAGATATCGATGCTGTTGATGCTGCTTCGATGAACAGGAGACAACGTTATCTACAACAACTATGAGAGCATTTAAGACAACGTTTTCACATCGAGTATCTCGGATAATTGTAACGCAGGCCCTGCAACAACAATTTCTCTCAACAGATCAAAGTGGGTGATTTAGTTTTCTGCGGGAACGAGCTCCAGAAGAGACTAGACTGGCACTTGGCTAAGGTGATCCAGTTCTATCCTGGAAAAAATGGAGAAATAAGAGTTGTCAGGCTCATGACAGCTACCAGTGAGCTCACTCGACCTTTGCAACGACTTTATCCTCTCGAGATTTCGAATTCTGAAAGTCCTGAGTTATTCAAGAGGTCAAAAGAGCTGGGAGTAGACCATCGCTCCAACAAACCATTGGTGGACCCTTCAACGATAGAGGAAGTAGTTGGAGACCCAGACAATACAGTGGGAGATATATCTCCCTCTACTTCTGAACTTGATTCTCTCTTCATTCCTGGAGATGATGATCCCTTGGATTCTGGAGACAAGTCTCAGTTGAGGACTGAGAAGCAATTTACCCTAAAACCAAAAGGAGGAGACGCACGAGGAATTGGGACTAAACCGGAGGTGACTAACCGGCGAGGACATCTCATCAAGTTTCCTACTAGATATCAACAGTGATTTGAAAAGAACAGACTATTTCATAGTATCATAGA